TCCTGGCAGGCACAGACAAGAATTCCTCTAAGGGCAGGTGGTAATGAGTGCCTCACAGCTCTGGAGATCCCAGGAAGTGTCACAACAGCATCTTAAAATATGTCTACCCTGGTGGCAGTGTATAGAGTACAGGCATTGCTCACCCAGCTAGCGTGGGTATAAACAGCAGGGTAGATGGCGAAGTGCAGCTTAAGTGAGTTGAGTAGAACAGAGTGCCCTACAAGTCTGACTGTCCAGGCTATGGCTCTGTACAGCCCAAGCAGTACCTCCCAGGTCAACACTACTATTTTTAGCAGCGTAGCATCAGGCTGCCTCCCCCCTAACAGAGCATTTCTCTGCTGCAGGGAAAGGCCGTAGCAGGAGAGGAGGCAGCGAGGAAAAACTCCGGCAACATGGAGCTGCTGGAGCCTTTCCCTGCTCCGGAGTTTTTCCCTGCCATGTGTAGCTACACCCCACAGTGACAAGTGTGCATGCAGCCTGCCTTTCACTGCAGCATGTAGCACCTGTACTTACACCCCAGCATAAGTGTGGCATTGTAGGGGGAGAATTTCTGTATTTCTATTCTGGCTGTTAATACCCACACATCATTTTGAATCCCTGACAACAACAACTAGGAATCCATCTTGGCTGTCTTTCTTCCCCCTCCTTAGGGACAGTTTCCCGCCCTTTCATGTGACATGTGATCTGCCCAGTAAAAGCACGGCATATAAGGGCTAGCACATCTGAGGGAGGGTGCTGCCCATCTCAGTGGCAGAGTGCTGTACTCAGATGTGTATGCCAGAGCACCACGCCTTAGGGTTGTCGGAGGGTTTAACACACTTGCACGCAAGGGTGACTGCCAGCTGCCACCTTCTCATCCAGATCTTACTTGCACCCACGATGCCACAGGGAAGAAGGAAGAAGAATCACCAGCATTAAGCAGAGTTACCACCTACCTGTCGCCTGAGGTCCACTTCTCACCCTGCCGAGTCACCTGGTCAGTCCTGGACCCAATTCACGCCGTGAGGAGGCTCCAGACAAGTTGCAAGATATGGTAGAGATCTTTTAAGTCCTCCATACCCCTTACCTGGGACCCGTCTTTGGGAGGGAGTAAACCCTTTTGGTCAGTCAGTACAGTTATAGTGTCACCTTTGCCTATTTAATTTACTTATCTGTGTTGAGAATCCTTTATACTATACCCAGTTTATTTACTTTGTTGAACTGTTGTTAGTCTAATAAACATACCGGATTTTACTCCTGCACTTCCTTGTTAGTTTTTATTTTGGGCAATCTTAAACCCCGATGATAGAGGCGGGTAGGGTGACTAATCTCTTGACTGGTCTCCGGCCATTCTAAATCCAGTCACCAGCATAGCCTTAATGTGCTCTCATTTTCAACATGCTGAGCAATAGGTGATGCCAGCTGAGAGCTCCTGCCGTAGTTGCAGGACTATCTGCACCTCTGTTCCCTCTCTGAGGACACCCTCTCGTGTGTCATGCCTTGGGCCTTTACCTCTCCTGGAGTGGAGTTCACAATCCTGTCACTCTCCGTGCAGCCCCTACAGTACCCTGTGTATCAATCATGCTTACCTAGTAGGTCCAACTGAGTTCAGCATCTGCAATTCTTCCCTTTGGGAGTCTGTGACCAGTGGTATCCAGTGACAAAACAGTGTTCTTCAAACCAAAGTATTGTTTATTTTCACAGTTGGAAAAAACATTTAGAGAAAAAAGGACTTCCACACCACACAGTTTTCACATCTATCTTACCCTTAAGGAATGGTAACCTGTCTTTGGGTAACCTAGACAGGCCAGATTTCTTCAGACCCCTCACAATGAGTGCCTGTATCTCAGACTCATTCCTCCAAACAACTGCCCTAACCTTGAGAGGGGTTTCTTTTTAAACCTGACAGTTCTCTGCCCATGCTTTTTCCTATCCTGACATTGTCTCTTAACAATCCTCAAGTGTCTGTGGAGAAATGGCTTATCTTGAGCCATTCTTTTCCCCTTCTTGCTTGTTTTTCCTTATAGGCCCCTAGTGAACCAAATCAATATATTCAGACAATAAACTTACCAATAACCAGGTCAACATACAGCATTCATACATTTTTTTACAGAGCACCTCTAATTCCATCAGAGCTCCGGATTTGGTTTATGAGAAAAATCTATTTTACAAACCTCAATTAAAATTATCATTATTTGCAGAGATTGTGGCAGTACCATCCTTGTGCTAGATGCTTTCCAAACTTCTAGGCGCTTTCCCCACAGCCCTCTGTTCTCTTTGTTGTCCTTGAGGCAGACAAGTGCTCACCTGAAGAGCTGGTCTTGGTATTTAAGGGTATGCTTGCAAAACAATTATTTTTAGGGCCTTTATATCCTAGACAACAGATTCCCATTTGCACAAGGCCAGGCCTGGGATTTTGGGAGCATCAGGAAGATGGTTATTTGGATTGCTATTTGGATGGTTAACTGGATTACCAGCTATTTCATCACTGCACAGCTGACATGCCCCCAAACTCTTTGCATATTCAATTTTTAGTCAAGAGCTGAAAATTTTGTATTGGTCACTTCTGATGACCCGTTAGTTACCTGCCTTCAATTGAAAAGAAACTGACATTTGAAAGAACAGGTCAGCAGCAATAAATGAGTACCTAATTCCCAGTTTGGTACACTCAGGCTGCTCCAGTATAACTTCACAGTAGGACAAGAGCCATACCTCCATCATCGTCCTCTCCATGCATCACATAGTACATCAGACTACTGAATACAAGATCATAGACTCCTAGCTACTCTGTGCAATTCATTTTGTTTTATGCATTAAAATATATAGTTAAGAATTAAAAGGGAAAAAAAGTTAAAAAGTTTCCAAGTGGCACACTAGTATACTTTGGCTCTAGAAATGCTGTAGGATGAAGTTCTTGTCTGTCACAGGGGCCAGGGTTAGTTCCCTTGTCAGCAAAGTGCCCAGCAGGGTTTTTAAGACTCTTCCTCCATTTACTCCCTTTCAGCAAAACCCATGAACCAGACGAATGTAGATTCATAGACACACACACACAAGTAAAATCTGCCATAAATGGATAGTTATAAATGCAATTCTTTTCTCTCCACCAAATATGAATGTGTCATCCATATTCTCAGTGAATACTTATATAGTGTTGTAAAAGATACATTCAGATAAAACAAAAAAAAATGCTGGGCACAGGTCTGTGGCTAAAATGCTGGACACATGACTAGCTGATGGTCAGGTTTTTGTTTAAGATATCAGTAGCAGAGATTATTATTAGTCTACCAAATAAATTATGAACAGAGAAATCAAGACCTTGATTCAGCAATACACTTAAGCATGTGCTTAACATTGTGTTTTTCTAAATTGGGGCCCAAGTCAGTAGCTGTTTGACTCTGGACATTTATAAGTTGTGAGGATAAAGATTTAACAGAATTATTTGGAAAGACAACCAGAAGATGCATACTTGTGCAATAAATGTATACTTGTGTGAAAACCTATGCACTGAAGTTATACACAGCATGTTAAATCTTACTAATAATCTGTCTTTATGCCTTTGGAGACTGGTGGAGGTATCACCCCCCTTCTGAGAACAGTCTAGAAGAAAATCAGTCTGTTTCAAAAGGAAGGGAAAAAAAGGACAAACTTATACCTAACTATGCTAATACTCTTCCTAGGTTTCCCCTTTATCCCTGCTAAAGTTTACTTCTTTCTTTCACCGAGACCTACAAAGATGAAGAAACAAGATATGTAACAATAGTGTGTATAGCTTATTGAAGAGCATTGTAATCTGTTATGAATTTAAACTAGCAAAATGAAAATTTCAACCTTTTTATTAAGGTACTCCTGTATTAGTGTACCACAAGAGAACCCAATCCCATAAGCAGACACTGTTTCTACCATATATTTAGCAATGCCCATTCATTACATTTATTTGATAAAAATCAAGACATCCTGCATCATTTCAGAGGGCGAGACTGAGACCCAGGGGTAAAACCATTAATGAATTAATGGGAAGGAGTTGGGGATGGAAAAATGGAAGCAATATCCAGGCATGCAGGTGAAACCTATGGTTACAATATTTCTTCTCTCACTTTACTGTTCCAGTCCACTTCCGATTTACTCACTATCATTTAGCGCCATCTTCAATTTTGCTCTCAAATTTGCAAGCAGCATGTCTGGTACAGTCAATAACTGATTTTTCTAGATCTTTGGCACTGCTCATCTCCGTGTCTGAAGTGCTGCTGGGCCCTATGACAATTTTATAGTATAGGATGAGCCTGAAGAAAGAGGATTTGCAATTATTTATTGGTGCAACAGTCTTGCATTTAAAAAAAAGCACATTGTAGGGACATTATGTAGGTCTGGCATCACTAGCAAGACTGGCACAGCTCACTAGGACCATATTCCACCAGGTCATCTTCAAATCTATTCTATAAAAAGCATACACACTGGAGCTTGGCATTGTCCCATTAGGTGCTGTTGATGCCCCAGTCAGAACTTTTACATTAGTAACAAGTTTAAATATCTGCACAGAAACAGGGCTGAAATGCAAAATTCCAATTTACTGCAAAAACGTGAATTTAGCTAGTAAAGTCTGCAAAAGTTTACAGTAAATTATAGATCACATTCTGGTGACTCAGTTCACAAAACAAGTTAAGACAGATACTAAAATATCACTGCCATGTTTAAACACATAGGCAAGCAGTAATGCACAATTTAAACCTTGAACTATTTTGAAATGGGTCAGGCCCTAGCTCATCCTCCAAGATTTTCCAAGTATCAATAATTTGGATTCTTCATTGATTTGGCTTTTATGACAAGGGCAGTAAATTACTCATGCTGTTTGTAACCTTCTTGGAGGGGGAGGTGGGATTTTCAATTGCAAAATTCTTATTAATGCCAATGGCATTCAGTGCACAGCATAACCGAACAACTCAACTTCTTACTGCTGTAAAATGTAGATGGTGTGTATGTGCTGCATCCAAGAAAATTAAAAAGCTATAAATCGGATTTATAACCATTCATACTGTATTAAATGTGCTAAAGAGAATTAAAACAAAATCAGATTCCTCCTCTCAGACTTCTCTCTCAACAATGGCCTTCCCTCAAACAAGAAAGGCGGAACACCAAGGGTGTAGTCTGGAGGGAGAGAGGGGATAAGAAAGGGGTATTTGCCCATCAAACTGAAAGCCTCAGGCAAGCACAGAATTCTGCCCCCCTCCCAACCCGCACATCCCCATTGGCCTGACTGGAGCTGCCCTCTCAGCTATAGAAGTGCTGAACACCACTATTTTCAGTGCTGATAGAGGGGATGCTACAGATCAGCACACAACACTTTTCCTCCAGGAAGTAAGTATACTAGCTCTGCAGCACTCTCAGTGCTTTTGTGTCAAAGGAGGTCATGTGCGTTTATTGTGTTACTGCTAACCCACCTGGGCAGCTTGATCGTTATACACCACATAAAATCAGTGCTTACTGCAGGTCATGTAGACGTTAAAAATAAACTGGAATTAGAAGCTTGATGGATCAAATGCAACATTTTACATTTCACATGTGATTTTGTGTCAAGTTTGTGGAAGCAAGAGATGAGTTAGACAGCAACGTTCTACCAGATCACATGCTGGTCTGTGGATCCCATCACACTCCCTTTGACTGAAATGGGAGCAGGTGCAGGTCTTGTATCATTAGGTTTACTACTTGAGTGAAGAGACAAAATTAAAATCTAAATACAGGCATATGGCAGTCTTAGTGTTCTTTAGGAAGGAACAAATCTACCCAGAAGGGTAATGTGAAAATAGCTTACAACAGAAATGAACATTGGCAGAACTCTACAGGGTTGGTTGTAGGGTTTTTTCCTTTTATATCAATCCTACCACGATAGTGAGTGAGCAGCATCCCCATCATTTTAAGACAGTTACAACTTAAAGGATATTTATAAATGGAATAATTATGATTATTTAAAATAGAGAATAGGGAACATTTTCTCTTTTTATGTATAATAAAAATACTTTCAAATACTTCATTAGAGTGTATGTCTTTCCAGTTGCTCTTCAAAATGACTAGTTTTAACCTTACAATGTAACCTTAGTTACATCTAATTCTTTCGCTTACCAGACTTACATAAGTGCAATAAAGACCAAAGCAATACAGATATAAAGTAACCTTTCAGAAACAGAAACCTACTTGTAAGGAAACATTTACATGGCTTTATACTGATATGATAAATTTAAAGATGCAGTCTTAGAAGCAGATGATAAATCTGGGTAAGGCTGAAGGCCCATCTGTTTATTGTCTTTCAACTTTTGTATTATAACTTTAGCAAACTCCTCTCCTTGGCTGTCAGTAGTATCAAGCAGTTGTCGGACTTTTGATGTCCTCGTAGGTTTGGTGCTGATAAGTTCATAGTCTTCTTTCATGATTAAATCCCTTGATAGGAGGGCATCCAGAGACTGGTTCAGACATGCTTCAGTCATCTGGCTGACAATGTCCTCTCTCCTAATTTGGATCCACTGGTGAGCTACATCCTGTTGCATGGATTCCACAGCAAAACCTAAAATTGAAGAAAGATTCAGAAATCTAGTGTCATAGTTGCAGTGAATTTATAGTGCTATAAAATGAAGAGTGAGTTGAGAAAGAATGGTCCCAAACCATACCTGTAGTTAAAATAACAGCCTCGTAATACTCTGCCAAAATGTTGCTACATTAATCCAGATTAAAACTCTGTTAATTGTACTAACTGTTAATTAAAATATTTCTTTAGTTATTCTAATGCTGGGTCTTTATTTCTTAGGGGAAGTAAAAAGTTACAAATACAGCTGCTCTTCCTAAAATGCCACCATTATTCTGAAACAGAAACTCGATTCTTTCAACCACCCCCACCACCAATGCCTCTCTCCCACACAAAACCACCTCCTCCTGAAACAGCTACAGGGATGGATCACAACAATCTGTGATGATGCCTTTTTTTCCCTATTAAAACAATGTCATTCCTTTCACCTTTTCTGGCTTGCCCTATTATCCCATTCTTATGTTTCTTAAAACTACCACATTACAGACAGAAGAATGATAATTGGTTAAGACACTGGACTAGGACCCAAGACCAGCATTCAAACCCTAACTCTACCACAGACTTCCTGTGTAATCTTGGGCAAGACACAATTTCTCAGTGCCTCAAGTCCTCATTTGCAGAATAGAAATATAACACTTCTTTTCTCCTACCCTATGTCTGTAGGAGAAAGGCAGGATTAGCTATACCTTGACTATCCCTGGTAAGTGTTTGTAATTGTACCATTCTGCATTGTAATATCCCTTTAACAAATACCACACTGAAGCAGAACCATCATACACACCTCAGTCACACTGTATGTGCAATCTTCCTTATCCTGGAAGTAAAGAATTTCCTTAAACTGGAAATTCTTTAGAGCAGGATTGCCTGCATATTGTGTTTTGTATTGCTTTGTTATTGCTTAGTAAATAATAATAGGCCTAGTCTTCCCTTCAGACACATACACACAAATTGGTAGTTGCACATCAAGATTGTGAAGGCATCTAACTGACCATTCATTGTTTCCCTCTGATATTAGTGGGATTTAAAACTCCATCAGTTTGTGTTGTACCTGGGGTAAGTGCTGATGACTGCAGCATGTGTGTCATAGGATTTGATGCGTCTGAACGATCTGCACCAAATGAGGAAGGGTAGCTGTGGTAGGGCACATACAATTTAGCACTTTGGGCTGGAGAGATATTTTCATCCATGCTAACAAGAGAGCACGGTCCTTCAGAACTGTTGTCTTTACCTTAAATAAAAGAGAAAGAATCACATTACTTTTAGGTTCAGGAAAGAAACAAAAACATGTTAAAAATTATTTACAGCACCCCTAAAAAAATTGTTAGTTGCATGCCTTTCATGTCTGTTCTCTACAAACAACATTCAGATTTTTCATGAAGCTAAGGTTCACAGCGCTTTTACATTTTTTTCTTATTTTCTGTCAGCTTTGGAGGATTTTTTCTTTGCCAAAACATGGTTGAGAAAACCAGGTTTGGTCTGTTCCAACTTTAAAAAGCCTTAAGCAACAGAAAATTCCACAGTGGCTGGACCAACCAGAGCTCTGACTTCCAACTTTCATGTTGTCAATTATTTCTTATCAGATTTATTTTAGTGCTTTTTATTTATTTTAGCACAACAAGTGCAGAGGGGCTAAACCTTCCTAAAAGAGACTCAAGCAGAACGGTAGCATCTCAAAGACTAATCGTGTTCTTTATTGGAAGTCCAATAGAAAAAATCTGCTTTTTTATTTGTTCTATTAGCTATCTCTTGTGAGGATTCCTATATACCTTCATAAAAATTTCATATGAAATCTTCTTATGTAATTCATGTGGCAATACAGGTTTGAATACTAACTATGTCTAACTTAATTCATGGATAGACAATTCATTCAACTGCAGAACTGACTGAGTACAAGAACAAATGACATTGTGAAAGAGATGCAGCAGTATGGTAATAGGTTTACCTTAATGCAGGGCCTGATAGACAATAAAATCATAGAATTTATATGGACACCTTAACCAGTGTAAGCCTAAAACTGTATGTCACTTAAAGGACCCTTTACACCAAGTTTGTATCCAGACACATCCAAACAACAGATAGGTTTCCATTTTTTAACAAAAGTATAATGCCAAAATAAGCAGTTTTAACACAAACATTCCCTGCAGCATTGGTATTTTATGATTTTTATTACCATAGTGCCTAGGAACTCTAGTTATGGACCAGAGTCCCCTTTTGCTAGGCACTATACAAATAGAAAAAAACCACAATATTTGCAACATTGTGCCAGTGCATGAAAATCTGAGAGTTGAAATTGATCATATACAAAAGGTTAAACACAATCTGTATTGATTATTCAAATCAGGGGAAAGCAGTAAAATAGCTGAATGTTTTATTTGCAACACTTTTTAAAAAAAACACATTGGCATGAATTACTTGCTCATGTCAGCCAAGGACTAACAACATTCTTCTGCTGTGCTTCCTAAAATAGATTAGCCAACATTTAAGGGCAGTTGATGGAAGTCAATTTTTATTTTTCATGTGTTTACAAAGTATATTTGATTGTCTCCCCGTGCCACCTCTACAAATTTCTTGTCTTCTTAGATTGTCAGATTTTCAGGTCTGACATTGTTCCTACTTCTGTGTTTGCCTGGTACCTAACACAATGGGACTCTGATCCAGACCAGTGCCTCTGGACACTATCATAATAAATAATAATTGTTCAAAACTATCTTCTGTGACCTTTCACAAAGAAAGATCAGAGCCACTTGAGAAATTTCATACACACCCCATAGAGAGCACAGACATGCCAACAATACCTCACAGTCAGCTGTGTGACAGAGTGCTAACAGGGCCAAAAGAATCATTACTGGCATTTAATCTTCATACCATGGCTAGATGAAGATCATTGGCCAATGCCATCAGCAGAGCTTCTGTCCTATAGATGGAAGCCTGAAGTCTGAGAGGAGACTCCAGATACCACCACCAATGAACATTCCCCCCCGTGGGAGATTCTGTACATGGCAGTACACAGTCAATGTCAAGAGGTTTTGAGACTCACCAGTGTCTTATCCAGTCACATTCATACGCATCCTTCATACTGAGCCTAATTTTCCCATGTCAGTTTCACTACATACTTCTAGTTAAACTACTTTGTATCACTCTAAACCATCCTTCTCCAGCTCTTTTGTTTCTACTCTGAAAGTATTCATAAACGGGCTGTCATGGCTCAGTATGGCCCGTGATCTAGCACCTACTCCTCATCCTGGCCCATGATCTGGCCATATAGGGGGCAATTAGTTGTCCCAATGGGGTGTAATGGAGTAAGGCCTGGTCCCCACTAAGCCCCCACTTCGGACTAAGGTACGCAAATTCAGCTACGTTAATAACGTAGCT